TGCAATCCAGTCCACCCGCCAATCGAAGATCCCTTTCCTTATTGGGCAGAGCTCACGTTGAGTGGGGTTATGGGTTTGGAGACGGGCGGCTGAAATGTTGCTCTGATGGCTGGGTTTGGGGACGGTGTCACTGCCGGAGAGGGTTACGTGAACGCCACTCACACGCTCATCCCGCCACCCCAACCCTAATGGCGGAGTCTAGGGAAGGCAGGGCCGGGCCGAGCCTCCAGCTAAGGTGGGGCGGAGCCGGAGGAGACCTGCGCAGCCTGAGGAGTCCCGAGTCTCAGCTCAACAATGCAGACCCAGCCCTTCGGGGCGGGGCCCGCGCCGGGTAGCTGCGCCTTTGTCTGTCCCTAGGAGCTGGCAGCTGCTCTCTGGAGGACAGCCGGCGCATTCGAGGCCTCGGCAAAGCCCCACCAGCAAGGTCGGTCCATTGCTGGAAGTCGAAGCCGATTGAACCAGAAGACCCGTCGTGAACTCGCACCACTCATGGGCTCGATGACCTTAGCATCCCGGTGCACATCCGTGAAAGCGGGAGAACCCGCTACCCAAACTGAGTGATTGTTAATGGAGAGGAAGTGACACTGTGTCTGAAGAACTGTTTTTCGCTCTCGGTCCCTCCCCAGAGCGCCTCTCTTCCCTTGAGACCCAGGACGCCTCCTCCTGGGCCTGGGGTGGCGGCCGTGCCAGGGGACGCTGAGCCTGGCTTGTTTACTTAGGGCTCCTTCAAGACACAGGGTGGACCAGGAGCTGGGAAAAGTAGCACTGACCTACTTCCCTAGCTCCAGGCCCCACAGGGCATAGTATCTCTAGAAGCAAGTTGCTGTAGGAACTCAGGGCACTAGGTCTCAGAGGCTTGGGTGCAGGTGCAAGGGCCCAAGCACTCACCCACAAAAAGGCCAAGAGGACAAAGTGGAATGCTTTGTAGAAAGGTCTCAGTATATGGACTGATACCTGAGCTACCAGGGAGCCCTAAGGAAGGCCTAAGTAGGCTTTGGGTCAGGAGGACAGGTAATGTCCAGAGTAGATGAGATGTTCATCTTGGATTGGTACATCCCTGAGGTCAGAAAATTTTTCCTGCTCAATGCTCTGTACACATACCTGAGCTGGACCTAGAGAAGCAGAGATAAATTATTCGCCCTTCAGGGATTGGGGAGAGGAGGCCAGCAAGTCTATAATCACTGTGCAAAGAGATTAGGGATGTGCCAGGATCTCCAGAAAGTTTCATAATCCCCCAGGGTTGCAGGGCCTCCACAGGGCTAAGTAGGAATTGGAAAGATGGCTGAGAGGTGAGGAAGATGATTCCAGGCAGAGGACAGATTTCCAAAAACTTAGAAATCAGAAAGCACAGGCAGTGAGCAGAAGCCAAAGGTAAGGCCAGATGAATGGGAAGAGTGCTATAGGCCACTGCAAAGTATCTAGACTTTATCCTGAGGGCAGTAGGGAGCCATAGAAGGATTTAGAGCAAGGAACTTACATGTTCAGAATTCTGGGGGAGGGGGAGGTTAGGGACAGAGAAAATAACAGGGGTCAAAGAGAGGGAGTAAACAGCATTGTGTGGGTGAAATATCCTCCTAATGAGCAATTTCAGGATGTGTTGTCGTCCCCCTGCGTAGACCTCCCCCCAACATACTTCCCTAGGTTATCATCTGGATTGAGAAAATGGACCTTTATCTATTCCCTCTGTCCTCCAAACCAGGGGTTCAACTAGCCAAGGCCAGGGGGGAATGCAAGAGGGAAGAGCTGGACCTGTCAGTCCCATCACTGGGAAGAGACCACACACAGAAGCTAGAGAGGCCTTGAAAAATTCACCCATTCACCAAATGCATCCATCTGTGCATCTGTGATCAATCCATCTGTGTTTCCCCACCACTGTGCAGCTGGAGAACACTTAGACAGGGTTACATCTTAGGAAGGTTTCTGGTCTGGAGGAAACTGAGAACTCTAACCTGGACTGATAAGGGCTGGAGCCACGGTGGGCACTGACTGCAGAAAGAGTGTCGCTGCCCTTGGTCAGAAGGGCAGCAATGGCTAAGAGCTCTGCAGGCTGGGACTATCCTGTCCCACTCACACACACCGATACATTTTCTCTCCACCCCTTTTCCTCAGCCAGGATCTCCCCTATCAGCTCTTCCTCGGGCCAGCTAGAAAGCTCTTGTAGATGGCAGGAGGTCATCTGACCTGCCTCCAGCCTTCCGAGAGCCCTGTGAAACCAGGAGGCCAGGGGACTACTGCAGTAGATAGGACTACAGACTCATGGACAAGGACTATGTGGGTCCCTGTATACCCTTTCTCACTCCTGTGTGAATACGAGCCAGGCCTGAGATTTAGGGAAATTACCATTACCTTCATCAGCTGCCATAGGTCTGGTCCTGAGCCCCCTATGTTGAAAGCTCTCCTGTGGCCTCTGAGCCATGGGATAGTACAGCTTAGCTTAGCCCAGCCCAGCCCCTTTTGTTCCACATTAGGGGAAACAGAAGTCTTGGAGGAAAGTCAGGGTTTAGAAAAGTTCTTTCTTTCCATGCCACATATCCCATTCAACAAGCTTGTCTGATTCTTCTTTTATTCCTGCTCCCCTCACCCACACCAAGGCTGGCCGTGGCGGACAAAAGAACTGCCCTTGAGTAGCTCCCAATCTGGGCAGAGGCAATACCCGCCAACTCCAATTGAAGAAAGTTGGTTGCTGAGGTCAGCACAGGGTGCTGAGAAGACAGGGTCAGCACTTTGTCCTCAGATACTAGGCTGAGGAATTTGGACTTGATCCAGAGGGCAGTGGAGAGCCACAGAAGAGTTCTGAGCAGGACTGACACCCGGAAGGAACTAAGTGTGCAGGGCTAAGAGATTCCCCACTCATCTCTGCACGAAGTCCAGTCTTCTTGCCTCGGCCTTCGGAAGATGTGCCCCACCCCCTCCAGCTTTACTCATCCCTCCCTCTCATGCTCAAAACCATGTATCCCCAAAATGTAATGAGCTAAGAGGAAGTCCTCAGTCTAGGTGGCTGGAATAGATGAATACATGTTGTGGACACTAGCCCACAGAGGGCTTTGGGCATCTAAGTGGCCACCTAAGTGGGCATGGTGAGAACAATGAGTGGAGCTTTCAGACCTGACTGGGCCCTCCCAGCTGGTCCCAGACTTGGGCAGGTCATTCTGAGACCAGCACAGGCATCACTGAAGTATGCTAATGTGAGACTGTTTGAGAGCCAACATATCCTAGGATCTTTGCCAGATATCCTCAGTTATGGAACACACATGAACCCCTCTCCACCTGCTCCCCTGTGAATGGCCCTCTCCCCAGGTCTTTTCCTGGGCCCTCTAAGTTCCCATACTCCACCTCTATTTGGTTTTTTTCCAGCCTCTGTCTTTATTTTTTTTTTTTAAAGATTTTATTTATTTATTTGCGAGAGAGAGAATGAGAGACAGAGAGCACGGGAGGGAGGAGGGTCAGAGGGAGAAGCAGACTCCCCGCTGAGCAGGGAGCCTGATGCGGGACTCGATCCCGGGACTCCAGAATCATGACCTGAGCCGAAGGCAGTCGCTTAACCGACTGAGCCACCCAGGCACCCCTCCAGCCTCTGTCTTAACAGCTGACCTCCACCCCTGCCTCTCCTTCCCCATAGCCCAGAAATAAACCTAACCCCACCAGAGAAGGGGCTTCCCCAGGGAAAGTACACTGGTGGGAGAAGAGGCCTGAGGGTACAGCCCAATCCCACAGAAGTGGATCTTTAGACCTGGTATTTGGTCACCACAGGGTCCTTCCACAAGCTCTGACTAGCTCAGGATGCCCAGAGGTCCACGGGGGCCTCTCTGTCTGCCCTGTTCCAGTTGGGATATGAGGAAAGACAAAGGGGGCATTTTAACTGAGACAGGTTTTTTGTGAGAAAAATCAGACAGAAATTGGGCCTAAAGCTTGATACTGAGACTGGACCAAGCCTCAGCTGTCTCCTGGGTGGGGTCCCTTCTCTTAGAGCACTAGTCTAGGAAGCTAGGGCAGCCCCAGCATGGAGTGACCCCATTAGCCATACAGTGCCCTATCACAGGCCTATTTATCCTCCAGCCAACCTCCTGCAAGCAGAGAGCAGCTGATCTCCCTCTCAGAGGAGGGCCCTCAGGCCCAAAGAGCACTAGAAGTGACTTGCCCAAGGTCAGACCGCAATGGGCCCTGGGAGGCGGCTGGTAGTGCATACAGAAGAACAAGTGTGCAGGGAGGGGCGACTCCGGGACTGAGACAGGCCTCACCTGCCTGATCTTTCACTCTGGCCACCAGGGCCAGGGGCTGCTGGCTGGCTTAGGGTCCTGACCCCAGGGACATGAGAGAAACATGGCCTTGGCCTGGAGGGGAACGCCCCTCCCCATAGAACTTGGAAAAGGGGAGGAGCAGTAGTGTGTTTACAGTGGAGGAAGCGGGGGTGGTGCAGGGCAGGGACCTTTGGTCAGAACGCCCCTCCCAGTAAGAGGGGGAGGCCCCATGAGATGTGGTAGCCGTTTGTTTGCTTCTCACTGCCAAGAGGAAATTAAAGAGAATCTGCCACTTCCTTCCGGCCCAAGTGGGATAGTGGGGGCTGGTGGCAGGCAGTGGCGTGGGTGGGCACTTGTAAGGGCCCCAAACTGCTGGCATCAGCAACATGTGTCCTCAGTGTCCCCTGTCTGGAGCAGAGACCTCATCAGGTCTGGGCTCCAGCCAGCTGGGGATCAAACCCAGGACCCCCCCACACTCACCTGAGCTGGTCCCTTCCCGGAGCACCAATACCCTCATTGTTCCCCAGATTCTATGGCACTTCTCATCATGAAAGTTAATTGATGGGTAGTACCTCAAGTTTGCCATCAGTAGAATGGGCTTCTTGGGCCTTCCTGGCTCAGCCCAAGTCCTATGAGCATTAAAGATGATACCCCGCCCCCCATTTCCAACCAGACCCATAAGGATGGGCAGGGGATATGCTTTAGGGAGCTGCAGCTCTGCACAGAGGGTGGGAATAAAAGAATTATGCCAGGCCACGAGTCTGTGTGTGAAGATGCCCAAGGCTAAAGCAGCCAGCCGTGGGTAAGGGTAGGGGGATCTTTATTGCACTGTACCAATGTCAGGTTGAGGAGGTGCCACCTGAGAAGCTCCTGTTTTCAAAGAAAATACTGAGGTCACTGGGAATTTGGCCTTGCTACTCAGACCCACCAAAAGAGATGTGCGCCCTAGGCACCCTTTAGCCTGTGCTCCAGGCTGATGGCCCAGGTCAAGACCTCTTAACTCCTGCCAGGAACAGTCAGAGAACTGTCCAGTGGCACCTGGTTCATGCTCTGCACCCACAGACATCTTACAGCCAGGCTCCTGAAGCAGGTGACCAAGGTAGGGACATGGTCACCAGCCTTCCAGAGGGCTCTCTTCACCACTTCCCAAGGCCACAAAGAGCTTCTTGCACAGCTCCCCAGGCACTGCTTGCTCCTGATTTCTCAGACCCCCAGGGTCTTGGTCAGTGGCCTCCCGCTTGCGTTTGTGCCATGAGGGGCTCTCCTCGCCCAGCCGACCCTCAGGGAGGCCCCGGCTCCGCAGACAGACGATGGCCGCAGCCTGCTCCGCCAATTTCTTAGACTTGTCCCTGGGCAGACGAGGCATGGGACAATAAGGCAGGTAGGTAGGCAGGCTGGTTGCAGGACGAGAGGCTGAAAAGGCCTGACTCTATACACCCTTGGCAAAGACTCTGACGAAACTGAGGAAGGGGGTGATCGCCGGGGGATGCCACTGCCCAGGTGCACCATCCTCCCCAAACCCTCCTCGGCCAAGGCTGGGTTCAGGCCCCTCATCCCACGCCCCAAGCCCACTGATGAAGAAACTCACCACAAGGTGGACTGGTACTTTTGCTCAGCAACAGTCACAACAGAGCAGAAGAGGCGATCCAGGGGGCGCTGAACCTGGTGCAAAGAAAGGAAAGGAAACAGGGATGGCTGCATGGGGGCAAGAGGAATGAGCCCTGGGGCTCACCTGCCAGGATCACGTGGAAGACAGAAAAAGGGAAGTACTTCCCACCTAAGTTAAATGAAGGCTACCTGTGTCACATGCTCCTCCCCAGCAGAAGTGCCTGGTACATCTGCCAAGGAAGAAAGGCAGATACATAAACAGGCAATGACATTCTAGTGTGTCAGGAGTTCAATCGTGTCCCTAAGCAAAGGGACATCAGAGTCCTTAGCTGCGCGTGACCAAGGATCCTGCTCCTACTGACATCTGGATGGGCCAGGTCACCCAACATGAGGAGGAATTCACCAGATGGCAACGGGGTGAGAGGGGGCAAGGTTGGGGCAGAGAAGGTACACTTGGCAGAGCGACCACGTGATATGGCTGGACAGAGAGCTGAGTGGATGAGAGAGGAAGCAGAAAGGCATGAGGGGAGCCTTGTGCTCTGTGCTGAGGTGCTAGGGCTTGATCCCATAGGCACTGGGAAGAGGATGAGGACTTGAGCAGGGAGGCAGAGGTCAGATTTGTTCTGGAAAAGTCACTTTGGGAGAGGGGAACACAAGTCCTAGAAGTAGATCAGAGGTCAGAAGGCCAGTCCAGAAGAGACAGAGCTGCCTAAATAAGGCATGGCCATGGGGACCAAAGGAGGTGAAGAAAGACTGTCTTAAAGTTTCCACCAAGGGGCCTCAAGTCTAGGGCCCAATTCTAAGCCCCATTGGCTGAGGCCTGGTCCAAAAACATGTCTAACTTTTAGGTTAAGTAAGCCAGCTGGTCCTTTCCAGAGAAGTCTCCCTAATCTAAGCAACACCACTGGCAGAGACTGGCCCAAGCGGCCCGTTAAGTAGGTCTCAAGTCCAGTTTTATGAAAGTGGCCAGAATTAGACAACAGGCCCACTCTCACAGGAAAGGTGCTTATCATATTGGTCCAGCCTCCAGCAACCACTGCATGCTCATGGAGGGCAAAGCCAGGCTCCAGTCAAGCAGTCTGGAATTCAGGGTACAAGCTATGGGTGTGTTGGGGGTGATGGCACCAGCCATGGGGAGGCACTGTAGAGCTGGATGCAGGGCAGGCCACCGCCGGGAACTCACCGTGTCATACACAGGCTGTGCCAACTTCTCCTTCCGGCACCACTCCAGCAGGCACATCTTGGGGGTGATCTGGGGTGAGTATGCTCTCCTGGGGCAAGGAGAGGAAGGAGTCAGGGCTCGCCCACCATCACCACCAGGCTGCTGCCTTAGGATTCCTGTACTTATTCCCCTGAGCTCCCATTTCTGTCCCACCAGTGGTGTGGAGCCTGGATTCTACCTAAAGGGAAGATGGGCTTCAGCATGCTTGGGGAATTGGGATACGAAGTGAACTTCCAGCACTCTGAACTCTAGCCTGGAAAACAGCTTTCAACAGCCAAAAATTAAAGTCCAGGGGCACCTGGGTGGCTCAGTCGGTTAAGTGTTTGACTCTTGATCTCAGCTCAGGTCTTGATCTCAGGGTAGTGAGTTCAAGCCCCCCGCTGGGCTCCATGCTCAACATGGAGCCTATGTTAAAAAAAAAAAAGAAGAAGAAGATCCAGTTTGCCTCTCAAGACAAGACAGAAGTGAGTGGGTGGGGGGTGGGAATACAGGTGGCCATGCAATGGTCTGGGATCTAGCTCAGTACCCATCCTTATTAGGTCCCCTGAGTTGTGGGACAAGGTGGATCAAGGAAAAGGTGAAGCCTGGTCACCCCAGGACATCACCCACACCCCTGACAGTGCTGCCTTGGCCTTCAGTGACTGTCTTCCCTAAAGTGCCTTCTTTGGGATGCTGAAAAATGAGAACAAGGATCCAAACCAAGAAGACTTGTGGTCCCTGAACTTGTCATTAACCATGTGTAGCAAGTAGCAGCTGAGGGCATGGGTGCCCTGGCCAAGCTGAGGCCAACCTGGAGACCTACCGGTCAAACTTGACAGCCATCTTAATGACACCAGAGGGGTCTTCAGCTGGCTCCCCCACAGCCTCTGGGGTCCGGGCCAAGAGCTCAGCCCGCCGGGTATTTAGCTCCCGTGTCATCTCCTCGTAGAAGGCACCAAGACCAAAGGCCTCACTACGGAAGGACAAGCAGAGCGAGCCCTTTAGTGGACCCAGCATGCAGGAAACTACTGTAAGAGCCCAGTGCCTCACCATTGAGAAATGACCCCTCCTCTCCCCACCCCCCACGCGCACACACACACACACACACACAACCACCACTGAGACCTACCCCTGGGATCAGCCTGGACTGGCAGAGAGTGAATGTGAGACTCTGAGGCTGGACAGTGGAGGGCAGGCTGGGCTGGGTGGAAAAGGCTGTAAAGGTCACCTCTACCACCTGACCCCAGCCTCTCTTCCAAAGAAGAAAACACAGGCAAGTGTCCCCAGCCAGCAGTGAGCGAACTGACCTACACTGAACAAGCGCCTGGGTTATACACAGCCCCATCCTCATGTGGGCCCAAGGGAGGAAGAGACAGAGGCCACGACCACTAAGTGGTTCCCCACTTCCTGACCCAGCCACAGGCAGTTAGGCCTAGCCTAAACTGAGATACCACCCATAATTACAGAGTTATACTCTTTCTCTTAAACTCACAAGACACCTGAGTCAAGCTGGTTAAGCTATGTGGGGTAGGGACAGAACCAACACCACAAGCCCAGGGTTGGGAAGAGAGTTCTGGCAATTCTTTTCCCTTCTAGGAAGCATCTTGACGGCTAAAGGATATTTGTTTGGATGGGTGCCTGGGCACAAGTGTGGTTTAGGAAAGTTTCTTTGAGGAGGGAGGAAACACACAGCGAGGAGGAAAGAGCATTCAGGCAGAAGACCCAGTATGAGCATAGACGTGGAGCTGGGGAAATAGACAAATAGACAGGGGGCCACAGGAACAGGTACTAGGCCAGGTTGTGAGGAGCTAGATCAAATGTAGAGGACCAAGCCTCCCAGACTGCAGAGTGATGCGTTGTGGGCACAGGCTCAGGCTAGGGGCTGGATTCTACAACCTCAACTCTCCTGACCATTGGGTCCTGATGGCCTGGTGTGTAACAGATCTGTTACTGGGAAAGCCCCTTCCTCCCCAAGAATTCCCAAGCCCAGCCCCCACATTCTTCCATCCTACTGGCACTCTACTTCCCCAGATTCTGCTGCGAGATCAGTCCAGGGATGGAAAGTTCCAAAGCTTTGTTAAGTATCCAATTCTGTGAGGTGAAACTGTACCACCACCCCACTCCTGTACATCCACCTCCAGAAGCTGCATCCCTGGTCCCTGACAGTCAGTTTAGGGCTCATAGTCAAGCCTGGCAACATCTGCAAGGAATGATGGACAGCCATTTCCCCTCTCACCAAATTTCCTGGGAAGACTGGGCTGCATGGAGCAACCTTCCCTGGGGCGACTCCAGCTGTTCTCGTAGCATCTGGCACAAGCAGTACTTGGTGTTGGTGTAGTGGTTCTCATACTGGACGGCCTGAGGGAAGAACCGGCATGAGCCCACTTGCTGCCCAGGCAGGCCTGAGCTATGCCCTGATGGCAGAGAAAGGGACTCCAAGAGGGCATCAGAGGTGCATCTGCAGCTGGGGCAATGTGAGCCCACAAGGAAAGCCACCTCCATCCTAGCCATCTACTCCTCCAATGAGTGGTACAAAGCTCGAGAGTCATAGCCCAGACCCAGGGTGAGGAGCACACCCGACCAGACAGCCTGAAGGACGTCCAGATGTGTAGGGAGCCCTTCCTGCTTCAGCCACCACAGGCTGCCACAGAGGACCTGCTGCCCTTCCAGGGCAGGGATGGGGGGCAAGTCAAATTCCGCTGTGGCAGGAGCAGCACCAGGACAGGGGTGAGATTCTTCTATTTCTATACACGGTGGGTACCTTCCTTGCCCACATCTTAAATAACCTGTCTCCAATAGCCACCTGCATGGAAAAGCACAGCATCATGTACCAATCATGTTCACATGCTACTTGTCCCTTCATTGAGCTTCACAAGCCTCACAAGCGTGACAAACACAGGCGCAGGGAGGCAAGCTGACTGCACAGGGAGATACCCTTAGAAGCCTGCCTGGCTGGGGCAGACAGAAAAGCACTGGGTGAGAAGGGCCCCAGGCCTCGCCCTCTACACTCTTCTAATATCTCCACCTGGGCCTGTGTCTTCAGTGCCTGGGAAGGTGCCATGACACGCTGAGGACAAAGCAGAGATACGCTGGTGAGCCCCAGCTAGTGACAAGACTTTGATTCGCTTGTCTGGGACAGAAGGCACCTGGCTGTACCAGAAGCAGCCCTGCCTATGCTTGAAAGCCACGCCCATCCTCCAGGACAACAACTCTGGAGGAGCTGCCAAGGGACAGACCGAGTAGGAATGATGACATCACCTTTTACCCAGTGAGCAGTGCTGAGCGTATCTTCTCTGCTCGTGCCAGCCAGCTGCAAGAGCTAGACAGGTGGCCTGGGCTAAGGCAAGCCCCCCTTGTCTCTGGCTGACCCAGGGTACCGGAGACCCTGGTAGTCAGCAACCTGACCAACAGGACACCTGGAACCCAGGGGATGAGGGCTGTAGCATCAAGCAGGGAGGCTCCAGGACAGAAACTGCCCATCTCTAGACAGAAGCCTCAGGGCCTCCTACCATCCCCAGCTTGCACAGTCCTGGGGATACCCACATGCCATGGGGGCCACGGCTGCCACAGGCATGGCCATGGCCTGAAGAAGGTATGGGCAGTCTGAGGATCTGAGAAGCTCCTGACCCTCCCAGGAGGGTGTGAGCCCCAGTATTGAAGAGGATGAGGGCTGGACTCTCTGCTCAGGCCCAACACACTGAAGAATTAGAAGTCCACTGACTCTCTCTGCCTGCAGACATTTACAGCTAATAGAGTCTCACAGAATTCTAGGATTGTGCCAAAGGGACAGGGCAGGTGAACTGGTCCAAAAGTTCCTTTAGAGGGAAATGCCTCTCGCACTACCATCAAGCTCTCAGTGAGAGGAAGAGGCTGGTCCCTAAGGAGAGGGTTAAAGTTAGGCTGGTCCCTAAGTCAGAGGTTAAAGGATTCCGGGAATTAGCAAGAAAAGAGTTTTAGAAGTGATTCTGACTTATGACCAAAAAGAAGTCTCTACAGAGATAATCTGTCCTCAACAACAGTTACAACGGCCCCTCCTGGCTGTCAGGCGCCAGCCCCTTGGCATGGGTGTCTTCAGTGACACAGACCCCACTGTCATTGTGCATGCATGTATGTGGGGGGACGGGGGGATGAGAGAGAAAGAGAAAGATATCACATGTTTGGGCAGCATCCAGAATCCAGGGGTCCTTACTACGACCCCCACTCCTGGGAAGCTTTCAAACGAGGTGACGGTAGGGGCATGCCTCCCCAGCACACTCTCTTCACACCGCAGTCAGGGAGACCCAATGCTACATTACAAGAACTAAAAAGAAAAGGAGAGGAGTAACAGGGCTGCTGGTGCCTGGGGGCTCACCCAAGGTACTTTTTGCAGGAATATGGCAGACAGTGAGAAATGTTTCTTTTGAAAAGGTACATAGACGTACATATCGGATGTACTTCTGCATGACCTCCTCCAGGGGTCGCAGACCCTCCTTGAGAAAGATGGATGGGTTCCACATGGCAGCTCGGGCCACCATCACCGAAGAGGCTGCTGTGGCTTGTCGAAAGTCCTCTATGTCCAAATATTTTTGGATGTGGTCGTGAGATCCTCCACTGAAAGGCAACAGGGGAGTGAGAGGTGTCCCCATCCTTATACCAGCATTTTCAGAAAAAGGCAACTCCCAGAACTGCTACTCATTAACCGTGTGGCTTTGGCCAAATCCTTCATCTATGAGCACTTCAGGAAACTGGAGGTCATAACGCACACCCCACTTTGGGGTCAAGAACACCAAGTGAAATGACGCAGTGAAACAGCCTGAACCAGGCCTGGCCTGTAACAGGTCTCCCAGAGATTTTACCTTCCTTCCTCCTCATCCTAAAGCCAGCCCAAATCTGAAGACATGGGTCTGTAAGTGGATGTTGGGATCACAGGAAAACCCCCAGCCTGGGGCACTGATATACCTACTAATGGCTGGGTCAAAAACCACAGACGCAGTGGTGATTATGAGAGGAAGGAAGGAGGCCCAGTTTGGTTGCAATTTCCCTTCCTGCCACCCTGAAGCCCCAAGGGCCCCCGTGGAAACCGCTCTGTTTGTATCTGTTCCATTAGGAGTCAGGTGACAGCCTCAATCCTGAGACAGTGTTGTATGTATTGTGGGGAAGACCCTCAGGTGGTGGCAGCAGCATCAGGATCCAGGCTCTTGAGTAGTCCTACCCTCTCCAAGCCACTCCTACAACTCCTTGGCCTAGCGACAACCAGGCTTGGCTAACACCCCCAACCTTAGCTCCCTTCTTCCTTCCCACAGTCAGGCATGCCTATTGTCAGGGCTTCAGGGCTTTGGAACTTCTCTGTTCCCCTCCTGCCCTCGGGCTCTGTGCCATCCCCCGGTGCAAGGCTATGCTGGACTCCCGACTGGCCCACACAGCCAGCTCCCCAATGACAACTGAACACTGTCTTACTACTAAGCCTCTGGGCTGGTCACTGGTACCTCACAACTACCTGTCTCGGCTCCTGGTCCTGTAGCTGCCCAGAATGCTTTGAACTGTGACCTGCCTTATGCCCCCTAAGCCATATCTCTGTATGCTCTGGCTTGGGACTACTCACCCTACACCCTGCACACCTAACTCTGGGTGTGACATGACTTTCCCCTGGGCCTGCTTCAGCGGCTGCCTTCTCACTCTCCCTGTCCCCTGAACACTCTTTACCTCAACCCATCCATCAGAATGCCCTGCCTGCTGCATACCTACATCAGCCACTCACCAGAGGCCAGGGGACATGACAGATACTTTTCAGCCTCATGCCCAACCTCATGTTTTTCTCCCACCTTTTTTTCCTTTTTCCTTAGATCATTTTTTAATGTTATCTGAGTCCATTTTTTGTATGTCAACTCAAATCCCTCAGAGTGAGGTGGAGCATAAAACAGTAAATGATGAAGAAGAGAGGCTTACTTGGCTATGACAGGAATGGAGAGGGTTTCAGCAACGGCTTTGATGGCTTCACAGCTCACAGGGTGCTGAGGTCGTTCCTCCCGCTTCCTTGGAAATAAAGAAAAAAGATGGGGCCAAGGGCTGAGGCCATGTCACAGTTTGAACAGGTTTACCTTAGCCAAACCCTACCGTCCTCCCTGCTGAACCTCAGGAAGGTCACACGGCCACGAAGGACAGGGTTCTGGGCCACAGAGGATGTCTCTCCATGACCTCTGTTGTAAGGGGCAGGAGCAGCATAAGCCCCTGCTGGGAAGGCAAGTCCATCTCTTGCAGGCCTGCGGGTGAGGCATGGCAGAAGAGGGCTGGTATGGGTGGCCTGGCTCCCAAGGTCACACTGCCTTTCCCTAGCTTTCCCTCACCTCTGCCAGAGATGAGGACAGTGCTTTAAGAATGCTGCCCCTACTGTCCCAGTCCTGCCCTCCCTACGAGACTGGGAACAGCTGCTGCCCTCAGACTGGCCACTCCCACACAGCTGCCTATGTGGAGGACAAGTTGGGCAGCTGATCCTGGGGAGAGGCACCTGGCACAGGGCAGATCCCACAGCCAGGACAGGCCACAGATCATGGCTGTCACAACGAGCCCCGGGGAGGCAGGACCACAACCTGGGGCCCCTCCTTCCAAGGTCAACTGCAAGAAGTTCTTGTGTATGAGTGAGTTTTAGAGATACTGAAGTGAGCCCTGATCTAAGTTGTGCTCAGGAATGAGCAAAAGAGATGGTCGACCAGACAGACCTTGCTCAGTTCTTGCCTGGGCCCATCCTTTCTGGTACACTCCTCAATAAAAAGGTCAGGGGCCACAGGGCCTCAGAAAGCCTATCAACCCATCCTCCACCTCCACCTCCCCACACCCCCAGCAGCCAGGCTAGTCCATCCTCAACAGCTTTGATGGCCTGAAGGCCCCTCTTTAAACTCACCCATATCTGTCTTCCTGGTGTTTCCAACTACTGGCAAAAAGGAATAGCTATATTTACTCAGAGAATACCAGATGCCAGGCCCTATGCGAAGGCTATATATTCACAATCTCATAAAAGCCTCAAGACGACCCTATAAATGAGGAATGTGGTGCTCAGAGAGGTTAAGTGATGTGTCCAAGGATACACAGCCAACAAGCAGCAGAGCCGGGAGCCCAAACCAGGCAGCCTGAGCCTAGAGCCTGCTGTGGCAAGGAGGAGCATGTGTGTACATGTGTGTGGCCTTTCACCGCCCCCTACTGGCTTCAACCCGCACAGCTCTGCTTTTCTCTTTTACATGTTGGAGTTAACGGGTTCACTTGTCTGAAACGCTGTAATAGACACAACCAGCAAACAGTGGGCTGTTCCTACAAGACTCCTGAACCCAAAAGGAACAACACTCAGAGAAGAGAGGTCACTCTGGCCAAAGTCTGTTGACCTGGGATGTACAAAAGCACATCGTAGACAGAGGGAGCAAGTCGGCCTGGGAAAGCAAAAGTAGCCGTCAGCAAAAGGTCAGCTCCCAGAAGAGAGCACATTAGCTGCAGATACAAGGGCTGTTTCAAGTAGTCACTGTGACAGACCGTGCCTTTAAAAGAACAGCCATCTGCTTAGGATCATTCGAGGGAGAAGCCATTGCTCAACGTAGTGGAAAGAAAATGAGATTCAGAGTTCTAATCCCACCACTTCCTGGCTGCATGGTTCAATTCTGAACCTATCACTCAATCTCTACCATTTACACATCCTGAGGGTATGGGTGTTTCTCTTTCCTCTTGTGTCTCTAAACTCAGTCTTCCTCTCCTTCTGTCTGTCTTTAAACTCAGTGCAGTGTCTACCACTAGTAGGTGCTCAGTGAATGAAACAAAGAAGAATGCCAGCCTACAAAGGGTTTGACTGCCCTCGGGACTTATAGGATGTCAAAGAGCTAGGCAGAGGTAGGCTGCATATGTAGAAGACAAGTTGGCTATCACCTGGGGTCTGGCGAAGCATTGTTAAGATGGCTGAGGACCAGAGCACCTGGGTGGCTCAGTCAGTTAAGTGTCTGCCTTCAGCTCAGGTTGTGATCCCGGGGCCCTGGGACAGAGCCCCGTGTCGGGCTCACTGCTCAGCGGAGAGTCTGCTTCTCCCTCTCCCTCTGCTCTTCGCCCCCAGCTCATGCTCTCTCTTGTTATCTCTTTCTGTCTCTCAAATATAAAATACTTTTTAAAAAAAGACGGCTGAGGACCTCCCTGCAAGTCAGTCACTAGCGAGGCAACCACTCACCTCCCATGAACTGTGACGGCAGCGATGCCGGTCCTCTCTATCCGCTTCACAAGGCTCAAGGTATCTTCCAGCTGAGGAAGAGGACAGCCCAGGGTGGTTACTGAAGCTACCGAGGGAACAGCTGCCAGCTCCCAAAGTTCAGCTCCTCGAGAATCATTCACCACCCCCCAAATGAACATCCCCAGAGAAAACGGACCTTGAAATGTAACACATCATCCTTACCGACGGCAGGATGCGAATCTTGCAGGTCACAGGTCTGCGTGTCCCTTTAACAAGAGTGCTGAGGATCTGCAGACAGGAAAACACAAACTATTCTAGAAAAACAGCCACACTGCTCAGACTAATTAACTGTGCTACAGGCCTGTGCATCACTGTGGCATGGACAAGTCTATGTTCATGTAGGAGTCCTTCCTTTCCTACGCTAGCACCCCAGCGCCAGAAGCCCCTTGCCTGGTACACCGTGGTGTACATGTATTTGGTAAATGAATGAATGAATGGGCCTGCATGCATGCCTACGTAGAACACAGTAATCCTCTGCCAGGCAAACATCAGAATCATCTGTAGAGCTTACGAAATACAGAATCTTAGATTCTACCCTGTACTTCCTAAATAGGTCTCTAGGGGCAGGGCTTAGGAATATGTGTTTTCAAAAGACTCTATATTATCCAGCCATAAAAAAAGGAGGAAATCCTACCATTTGCAAAAAACATGAATGGAACTTGAAGCATTATACTAAATAAGTCAGAGAAAAACAAATATGGTATGATCTCACTTATATGTGGAATCTAATAAAAAGAAAAGCTCCTAGAAAAAGAAATCAGATTTATGGTTACCAGAGGTGTTGGGAGGGGGAACTGAAGAAAGGTGGTCAAAAGGCACAAACATATAATGTACAACATAATGCCTGCAGCTAACACTGCTGTAGGATATCCAGGAAAGTTGTTAAGAGAGTAGATCTTCGGGCGCCTCAGTGGCTCAGATGGTTAAGCGTCTGCCTTCAGATCAGGTCATGATCTCAGGGTCCTGGGATCGAGCCCCGCATTGGGTCAGCAGGGAGTCAGCTTCTCCGTCTCCCTCTGCCCTTCCCCCCTGCTGGTGTGCGCTCTCTCGCACACACACGTGTGCTCTCAAATAAATAAAATCTTTTTAAAAAAAAATTTTTTTTTAAAGGTTCAGCTTAACACCCTTCCTCTTCAACATGATTCTGAGGCCTCGTCCTGGTTGAAAAGACATGGCGGACAGCTTCTTTACTGCTTGAAGGCAATGTTCCCCAAGTGCTATTCCAGGATCTGCCAAGTGAGGGAGCCAGGAAGGTTGTACAGGTCCTACCTGGGCCCTGTCCTCATGAGCCTCTCTCTCTCTCTCTTTTTTCTCATGTACCTCTCTTTAGGTGAGCTGGTTACACAGAAGTGAAACTGACAAAGTGAAAGAAAACATATTCAACACATTAAAAAGTATTAATTTGCACAGTAATTGCAAAGGACTTCAAAGAAAGATCAAGAAGTCATACAGGAAAGTCAGATCACGTATGAATCAGAGATCAAGAGACATGCAGAAAGGGGCGCCTGGATGGCTCAGTCGTTAAGCAGCTGCCTTCGGCTCAGGTCATGATCCCAGGGTCCTGGGATCAAGCCCCGCATCGGGCTCCCTGCTCAGCGGGAAGCCTGCTTCTCCCTCTCCCACTCCC